CGAAGAAGTCTGAGTTCACTAAGTCTGAAGTTTTATACTTAGGACATATAGTGAACCAAGATGGCGTCAGGCCTGACGAAAAGAAAATATCAGCAATTAGAGACTGGCCACAACCTAAGTCTGTAACTGAGTTACGATCTTTTCTTTGCTTGGCAAGCTACTATAGGAAGTTTGTCAGGAACTTCTCATTGATCGCTGCACCAATGAGAAGGTTGTTAAAGAAAGGAACGATCTGGTTGTGGGACAAGGATTGTGAGTCCTCGTTCAAAAAGGTAAAATACGCTCTGACTCACAACCCTGTTCTGAAAATTGTTGATCCATCTCTTCCCTTTATTGTCACCACTGATGCAAGTCAGTACGGGATTGGCGCAGTTCTTCAACAGAACGACGGCAATGGTTCCAGACCAATTGAGTTTATGTCTGCACGATTGCCAATTGAAAAGGTTGCCAATTCTACTTATGAAAGGGAATTGTATGCGTTAGTCTGTGCCTTAGACACCTGAAAACACTATCTATTAGGAAGACACTTCATTGTGTATTCAAACCACTCTACCCTGAAGTGGATAAAGACACAGCCTAGACTCTCTGATAAGCTAATACGATGGTCTGCATTCATTGATACTTTTGATTTTGAGTTGAACACTATCAAAGGTAAGTCTAACGTGGTTGCAGATGCATTGTCTAGAAGATGTGATTTCTTTGGTGCCATTGTCTCTTACCTAGACGTTGGGAATGATCTGAAAGATAGAATTCGCCAAGGCTATGTTAATGATCCTATATGGAAACCTATCATGGATGTCCTTGCGAAAGACCCGAGTCTACTTCCCAACTATAAGATAACTGATGGTTTGCTTTTCTTGTTAGACCAAACTGAACAACGATTGTGTATTCCTCACCAAGAAGAAATCAAAAGTCTGATTATTGGGGAATGTCACGACGTCGAAGGTCATTTTGGTTTCAAGAAAACCTACATTGAAGTTAGAGAACGCTTTGAATGGAAGGGATTGAAAGAGGATGTACTAACTTATGTTCGTACTTGTCTTGTGTGTCAGAGAAACAAACCCTCGCATGAGAATCCACTTGGTCTTCTCAGACCGTTACCAATTCCAAGCGAACCAGGTGAGTCTATCTCCATGGATTTCATGAGTCTCACCAAAAGTCGAAATGGCAATAGCCAGGTAATGGTAATTSTGGATCGTTTCKCTAAATAKGCTATGTTCATTCCCTTACCCRAAAAAGCCAGAACGGAACTTGTGATCCAAAAGTTTCAGATGCGATGGGTGACTGAGTATGGTTTYCCTTTATCCATTGTATCTGACCGCGATACCAGGTTCACAAGTATGCCATGGCAAAAGYTAATGGAGGCATACGGTACACGTCTAACCATGTCGTCAGGTAGACACCCTGAAACGAATGGGCAGAGTGAACAAATGAACCGTTTGTGCCAACAGCTTCTGCGCATGTATGTAAGACCCGATCAAATAGATTGGGATGAGAACTCACCTAAGATAGCAAGTGCATATAATAGTAGTGTTCATACCTCTACAGGACGAACACCTAACGCACTGCATAAAGGGTGGAAACCTAAGCGTCCCATTGATGTACTAACGAGGGACCAGTTTCTTAGGTTACCTCCAGGGACCTGCGAATACGCAGTATTGTTTCAAGAAGACATTAAAAAGGTAAAAGAGAACTTAAAGAAAGCTCAGGACCGGATGATCGAACAAGCTAATAAGCATCGAAGACCATCAACGTTCAAAGAAGGTGATCTGGTCTGGGTCACGTCTAAAGAGTTTTCATTAGAAGAAAATGTCTCTCAGAAACTTCTGCCTATCTATTTTGGACCCTGGGAAGTTCTTAAAGTGATTGGAGATGCAGAGGGACCGTCTTACAGGATTGATATACCCCCTCATCTGAAGACCTATTCTGTTTTTCATGCGTCTAAGTTGCTACCCTATGTAGAAGGAGATGAATTCCCCCATAGACCATCTATGATACCGCCAGATATGGATGGTGGATATGAAGTGGACCGAATTATAGAACAAGGGTTCTTCTCTACAGGTGCACGAGGACGACCCCAGAAGCAATTCAAGGTTCGTTTTAAGAGTCAGAAACCATCTGAGGACAGATGGTTGAGTAAAAAAGAACTCCTTGAATCTGCTCCTGATATTGTCTCTGCTTATGAACGTGGGTTGGAGTCTTAAATGTTTCTGCGATGGAACTCGAAATTTAGGTCGGCAGGAATGCAGTAACCCTGTTCAGCAGCAGACCGGGGCTCAGAACTTTGCCCCCGGTAAGTCACAGACTCAGTTATCTGTGCCGGGCTATGTGACCGAGACATGCCCAGCCTGAGTCTGTCGAGGAGGCTGTGTGACCGAACGCGGCACAAAGGAAATTCAACAGTCAAAGTCAACTGTAGAGCCGCAGGTACCGTGCCCAGGCCTATGGTCGGATACATTCACTTGTTGTGTGCAGGTACCCAGACAGCATTCAGGGCGGGAGGAATACAGTTTCTGGCC